AGACCGACGTTTTTTATATATATATATATATATATACATATACATATATATATATATATATATATATATATATATATATGTATATATATATATATATACATATATATATATATATATATATATATATATATATATATATATGTATATATATATATATACATAATATATATATATATAAATGGGGAGGGAAATCAGGATCAACCTGCAAGCAAATGATGTAGGATCAAGAAGTGTATTTTCTTAGGGGACTCTGCATGCTAAGGCTGCAAGATGGAGAAGTGATAATCTTACGTGTATATATCCCAATTTCCGCTGAACCTCGGTCCTCTATTCATGTAAGTAAAGTGAGCTAACTGCTTATCAATAAAGACAGACTATTTAGCCATTTGCATTTTATATGATTGGACAAAAAATGAAGACTACAGGCTCGCAATTCATGGCAGTGTAAATATTACCATAGAGTAGGCTACCAGGTGAACAAGTCACTCTAGTTTCCCATCTGACTTGTTTAGAGTGTAGTCTTAATTTCAAACAGTCTATTCTAGTGGTGAGGACTTGTTGAGTAAGAAAGCATGCCCAGGAAAGCTCAGCCAAGGCCTCACAATACAGGAACAAAGACATTATTTCCTTGAGTGGTACTCTAGCTGGAGAAACAGAGGGAGACCAAGACATTGCTGGATCGACTCTGTTAAGGATATCGTCAGAACACCCACAACTTGACCCTCCTCTAAGCCAGTTGACTTGTTGCTGTCAGACATTTGTTTCTCCCCGCTACACACACTGGTACCAGTTAAAGGAAAAAGGAAAAAGTTAAATTAAAGGTACCCTATGAGAGACCCCCTGAAGTGAAAACCCTCATTACAGGATATTTAGGTGAGGAGGGGTAATCAACACCTACCAAACGAGCAGTCTCTGGCCTAATGAAAAAATCTTGATAAAATAGTAAAAAACAGTCTACCAGTTCTGTATGTGTTGAACGGGGCGGGGGGGGGGAGAGGGGCAGATTATACAGTTCTATTACAGTTACATGATTAAGAAGTATAAGAGAAGCAAATAAAGGCTGAGAAGGTAAATAGTTATTTTACAACACGGTTTTCTTCCATCATACCTCTTTTTAAGACAGGACATTTTACAGACACTGCTGAGGCCACTGAGAGCCATGAAATGTACTTTTAACGAATTTAAATCCTAATAAACTAACCTAAAATAAATCTTTACAGACAAGTGAAGTAAAGCAATAATTAACAGTATCCTAATTTTATACTGGCTCACACGAATGTATCCTTTATTTTCAAGCTTGCTCATAAATCTGGTAAAGGAGTGAAGGTGCGTGCAGGCAATTTCTTTATTTATTTTAAAAGCATTATTTCTATGACAGCATGGTCACCCATCCACACACACACACACACACACACACACACACACACACACACACACACACACATGCACAATCACACACACAAACACACACACACATGCACACTCACACACACACACAAGCACACTCACACACACACACACTCACACACACACTCTCTCACACACACACACCAACACACACACTCTCTCACACACACACACACACCCACACACAAACACACACTCCCTGTCCATTGATAAGTGCATCAAACTGTGGACTCTCCTTTCCAGAAAGATGGTCAAAGAAAACTCATACCTCATTCTAGCTCAAACTTTCACCTAGAATATTTGAGTCAAATTCTATAGCTGTCACTATGAGGTCCTTTTTCATTCCTCCTCTAGTTTCTGTCAATCCATCAGCCTTGATCTTTTCAAAAACTTAATGAATGTTATCATACTGATGTGCTTCTCTTTCCTCATTCTAAACAATGTCAAGTTCTAAACCAATGCAATGACACAGCATCTGGCAGAGAGGTAACTTAACACTGAGATGACCCTTAGCAAAGAGAAACACAGCCTGGTCATCTCAAATGTTCGATAATAGCTGAGAAGACAAAAATTATTGTCTGCTCTGTCACAATACAGTCATAAATAGCTCTAACCAGAAGGTTATGGAGAAACATATAAACCAACTGCACACCACCTGGAGGAGCAACCTCTTCAAGACTGAAATAACACACTTCACAATGTATGCATGAGAATGAAGCCAAGTAATATCAGCTACGGGGTATTGTTTCCATCTTCTCTGTTTCCTGGTACGGTACAAGTGCTTTACCTTCATAAGATCAAAACCATCTATCTAAACAATATGGTCAAAAAACAAAAGGCCACTAGGGAGGAACAGACGGTTTTATATGTATGTATAACTAGCTGTGTGATGCCGTCCCAAAGATGAATGGTGAGGGGTTACTACATAGGTTAGTAAGGTGATGAGGTTACAAAGGTCAACAAGGACAGGTTCAGATATTGTTTATTTTAGCAGGAGTGTGAAAAGGTCAAACAGGTCAAAGGTTCTAGCTCACCTGCTCCAGTTCTGTCTTCATGGCCAGCTCACGCCAGTGACGCTCAAACCTCTGACGCTGGAGTTCTCTCTCCTTGGCCTGGATCTCTGTGTCCTTGGCCTGGATCTCTGTGTCCTTGGCCTTCACCTCTGACTTAATGACCTGGTTCTCTGACTTAATGACCTGGTTCTCCGACTTGATGTCCAGGTTTTCCTGAGTCTTGTCACAGAGCGTCTTGTGGTTGTCAGTGCCGGCCTTGAGCAGACCCAGCAGGAGGGGAGAGTCGGGGAACTGACCACCTGTACACACAAACACTCACATGGTAAACAACTCTATTTACTACACCACACAAGTAATCTACATGGCATCACTTATATAAATTGATGAGAAGAGAAAACACCACTCAAAAACACAAAAACATGATAAATACAAAGTACGGGATATTATGACATATTTCTCAGATTCAAAACATTCAAGCCTCTTGAACAAAGCTATCTCAGTTAAAACATGAAAAAGTTTTTGAGATATAAACCTATCAAGGTCAGTTTTCTCTCTCCAAATGGATATGAATTTCAGTTTGGGGGTTCAAGTTTAATCAGTGCCACAAAATCAAGTAGGTTGCAGGAAGCAAACTAGGGAAATAAAAGCATCTTATAAAAAAGAACTAAACAAACCACACACATGCACTTGTCTACTCCTAACAAATTTCAACCCGTTAAGTTATTATTTTCTATCAGCAGACAGTCTCAGAGAAACACGAGTTGCAAGATCTTTGAGCTGGTGGTTGAAAGATGCTCTGGTTTAGTAAGATACTTGGATGTTATAATCCTCTCTTGTTTCACAAAGCTGATATATATATGACAATAGAGCATTCAACAGCCCAAAGAGAGCATGGACGGAACCACTGAACTAACAGTGTCGGAAAACTGACAGGGAGAGAAAGAGCACCATGATCACTCTTGCCAGCTGTGAGCACTCACGTTGACGGTGATGATGATAATGATGATGATGATGATGATGATGATGATGATGATGATGATTATGATGATGATGATGTTGATGATGTTGATGATGATGATGATAATGATGATGCTTGTTGATAGCAATGATGAAAATGATGATGATGACAATGATGATGATGATGATGATGATGATGATGATGATGATGACGACGACGATGAAGATGATGATGATGATGCTTGTTGATGGCAATGATGAAAATGATGATGATGAAAATGATGATGATAATGATGACAAATGAATATCAACATCATCTCACTAAGCCTCTCAATTATCTTGTTTGGAGCCACGAATGATTTAAACTTTACAGAAAAACAATTATTCAGTTCTCAGCAGCTTAAATAACAACATACAATTTATACAAATTTACTCTGTATCCTTAAACCTCAGAAGATCTGAAGTCTACTCCCACCCGCTCCCTGTAAGAGTCACTTGACATTCTGTATAAAAGCAACTACTTCTTTTGTTGAGTAGTGACTCACAAGTCAGGTAAAAGAAGGTGATGATGGCATCAGAGATTTGCTCTATGCTGTACCCACGTGCACGAGCTGCAGAGATAGACTCCAGATCCAGGTACGGTCTGGGACCAGCTGGGGGTGGCGATGATGATGATGGGTTTGATGTTGCTGCGGTAGTTGGTGTGGTGGATAATGTAGCTGCCTCCAGATCTGATCAGAATGAAGAAAAAAAATAGGTCAACTCAGTGACTCAGTGATAAAGATTATAATATACAGCATGGTATATTTTGCATGACTTGAATGAAACAGATACCCCAGTCTGAGAACTGAATTTTTACTATTTTTTCCGTAACATTTTTTTGGGTAACTTGTGTTTTATAGCCATTTGCAACTGCA